AGAGTTCCACTGCTGAATGGCTCTCACAATCAGGAAGTTCTTCCTCATGTTCAGATGGAATCTCCTCTCTTGTAGTTTGAAGCCATTGTTCCATTGCGTCCTAGTCTCCAGGGAAGCAGAAAACAAGCTTGCTCCCTCCTCCTCCCTGTGGCTTCCTCTCACATATTTATACATGGCTATCATATCCCCTCTCAGCCTTCTCTTCTTCAGGCTAAACATGCCCAGCTCGTTAAGCCGCTCCTCATAGGGCTTGTTCTCCAGACCTTTTATCATTTTAGTCGCTCTCCTCTGGACGCATGAATACTCAATATGCCCAAATATGAGCACTGGTGGAGTTTGGGGAAAATAGACTTTGACATTTGGAAGTTGTAGCTGCTGGGATTTATAGTTCACCTACAATCAAAGAGCATTCTGAACCCCACCAATGATAGAATTGAGCCAAACTTCCCACACAGAACCCCCATGATCAACAGAAAATACTGTTATTTTCTGATGGTCTTCGGTGACCCCTCTGACACACCCTCGCGACCCCCACAGGGGTCCCGACCCCCAGGTTGAGAAACACTGAGCTAACCCATTAGCACTATGGAGAAGCAAACCAAAACAAAGTCTATCCTGGCTCGGTCGATGCCCAGGATAAAAAGGACCGTGGTGGATGCTTCTGATTCTGGACATCCATCGACAAGTGGGCTACAGAATCAAAATACAAACGAACCATCACAGAAGCGGCAGAATTAGACCACGCCAGAAAACTGCACAATTATTCTTATTCTTATTATTCTTATTATTAGGTTTATTTATAGCCCCACTTTCCCTCTCTGCAAAAGAGATGCATCTCCTTTGATCAATACATCAATTTTCCCTTGAAGACTCTTCAACCCAAAGACAAGAAGAAGTGGAATTAGTTGAAATCAGAAACATGCAAAGGGGAAATGGAGTTCAGGCCATTATCTGGATTCGGAAGAAGGTGTGATCAATGCACTTCGAAGCACGGCTGCTTCTAAATGCTTGAGGAGAAAGGGTGATGAAAGGGGCAGTGTGTCCTCAAAACAGAGATATAATGACTGGGGATGATGGGAGATAATAATAATAATAATAATAATTTTATTTCTTATCTCCTCTCCTCGTGGCATAATAGTAATCATAATAATTATTTCTTATCCGCTTCTCCTTATGGCTCAAAGCAGGTTACATCATCACTGAAAACACATTGCCATTATGTAAAGTGCACACATTAAGCCATACTTCTACAAAATACACAAGAGTAAAATACACAGGACAATGATTAAAATATCGTGGACACAAGCTGGACTGTGTCCAGAGGAGGGCAACTCAAATGATCAAGGGTCTGGAGAACAAGCCCTATGAGGAGCGGCTTAAGGAGCTGGGCATGTTTAGCCTGAAGAAGAGAAGGCTGAGAGGAGATATGATAGCCATGTATAATAAATATGTGAGAGGAAGCCACAGGGAGGAGGGAGCAGATCAAGGGTCTGGAGAACAAGCCCTATGAGGAGCGGCTTAAGGAGCTGGGCATGTGTAGCCTGAAGAAGAGAAGGCTGAGAGGAGATATGATAGCCATGTATAAATATGTGAGAGGAAGCCACAGGGAGGAGGGAGCAAATCAGGGGTCTGGAGAACAAGCCCTATGAGGAGCGGCTTAAGGAGCTGGGCATGTTTAGCCTGAAGAAGAGAAGGCTGAGAGGAGATATGATAGCCATGTATAAATATGTGAGAGGAAGCCACAGGGAGGAGGGAGCAAGCTTGTTTTCTGCTTCCCGGAGACTAGGACGCGAAACAATGGCTTCAAACTACAAGAAAGAGATTCCATCTGAACATGAGGAAGAACTTCCTGACTGTGAGAGCCGTTCAGCAGTGGAACTCTCTGCCCTGCAGTGTGGTGGAGGCTCCTTCTTTGGAAGCTTTTAAACAGAGGCTGGATGGCCATCTGTCAGGGGTGATTTGAATGCAATATTCCTGCTTCTTGGCAGGATGGGGTTGGACTGGATGGGCCATGAGGTCTCTTCCAACTCTTTGATTCTATGATTCTATGACTTATTCTTCAAATCACATCTAGGGAATGTTCCTTTTGGAAGGGACTACGGTGTTGCACTCCAGACCAGGAAAAAGCCCTCTGATTTTAAACATCACACAATTGAGTAGGAAAACAATCATTTTTAAAGATAATTAAAAAGCAGAAAAGTAAAAAAGCACTTTAAAGGAATAGGTAAATCCAATTAGGTAGGAAGATAAGCTGGAATAAAGTAGTCCAAGGTAATAGTCCATCAAAGTCCATGAAAAACAAAGACAAAAACTTCTCCAATAAAATGCAAGGAACCAGGAAACATGAATCAAAGGCATGAATATACAATCATGTTGTTGTTCATTCGTTCAGTCATCTCTGACTCTTCGTGACCTCATGGACCAGCCCACGCCAGAGCTCCCTGTCGGCCGTCACCACCCCCAGCTCCTTCAAGGTCAGTCCAGTCACTTCAAGGATGCCATCCATCCATCTTGCCCTTGGTCGGCCCCTCTTCCTTTTCCCTTCCACTTTCCCCAGCATAATTCCCTTCTCTAGGCTTTCCTGTCTCCTCATGATGTGGCCAAAGGGCTTCCACTTTGTCTCTAGTCTCCTTCCCTCCAATGAGCAGCCGGGCTTTCTTTCCTGGAGGATGGACTGGTTGGATCTTCTCGCAGTCCAAGGCACTCTCAGCACTTTCCTCCAACACCACAGCTCAAAAGCATCTCTTCGTTCGCTCAGCCTTCCCTAAGGTCCAGCTCTCACATCCATAGGTGACTACAGGGAAGACCATGGCTTTGACTAGGCAATGGATCTTTTGCTGTAATAAAATCATAGAATCCAAGAATCAAAACCATGAAACAAGACACTTAAGCAAGAATCTTTCCAAGCAAAGCTTCCATGAAACAAGGACTTAACTTGGACTTAACCATGAAACAAGGACTTAACCATGAAACAAGGACTTAACTTGATTCCAAACGATGCTGTATCTGACTACATCTCCTGTACTTGAGACTTTTGTCTCCTTGTTAAGCTATGTCCCAAGTGCTCAGAAACTGGTTTCGTTTTAGTTTAGAGTCGCTTATCTTTCTCTGTCTGAGACTGGCAGACAGAAGCCACTGTTCGGCTTTTCTGTTTTGACTGATCTCCTCCCGTCTATCTATTTACTCATTAACTTCTGCAGCTGGGCCAGGTGCCGAGCTGTTCTCAAGCCCCAAATCCTGGGAACTCTCTGGTAGCAATTCAGGGAGTGCACCATCACCCCCACACCCTTCAGGGACATCTCCTGTACTTGAGACTTATCTCCTTGTTAAGCTATGTCCCGTGCGCTCAGATATTGATTTCGTTTTAGTTTAAAGTCGCTTATCTTTCTCTCTCTGAGTCTGGCAGAACGCCGAAGCCACTGTTCGGCTTTTCTGTTTTGACTAATCTCCTCCCGTCCATCTATTTGCACATTAACTTCTGCAGCTGGGCCAGGTTCCGAGCTGTTCTCAAGCCCCAAATCCTGGGAACTCTCTGGTAGCAATTCCTGGAGTACACCATCACCCCCACACCCTTCAGGGACATCTCCTGTACTTGAGACTTATCTCCTTGTTAAGCTATGTCCCGTGCGCTCAGATATTGATTTCGTTTTAGTTTAAAGTCGCTTATCTTTCTTTCTCTGAGCCTGGCAGAACACCGAAGCCACTGTTCGGCTTTTCTGTTTTGACTAATCTCCTCCCGTCTATCTATTTGCTCATTAACTTCTGCAGCTGGGCCAGGTGCCGAGCTGTTCTCAAGCCCCAAATCCTGGGAACTATCTGGTAGCAATTCAGGGAGTACACCATCACCCCCACACCCTTCAGGGACACTCTCATGGGAAACTACACTTTGAACAGGGATCTCCTGGTCATTCTCTGCATCAGTATCATTGACCAAACCATTGCCATCTTGAAACTCGTTGTCATCACTCCCCTCATCTAAAGCACCCTGGTCCTTAAACACAATCAAAGGCTGAGCTCCAACATACTGTCCCATCCTCACTGCTATATAATGCATGATATGCTTAGCGGAGACTCATATAATGCAGTTATTTTATTTATCACTAGCTTGGGGACCCGGCGCTGCCTGGGTTATTTGAGAAAGACATTGTGTGGCAAGGTTGGTCTTTATCAGTTATTTATGTGACTCTCAGTGGTCTCAGGAAGTGAGTGAAGTTACTTCAAGTCCCATCATCCGTGGTCCACCCTCCTACAAACTGCACTAGGGTCATGGGGGCTATGTGTGCAAAGTTTGCCAAGTTTGGTCTTGATCAGTCATTGGATGAGGGTCATAGCAGTCTCAGGAAGTGAGTGGAGGTACTTCAAGTGCCATCATCCATGGGCCATCCTCCTCCAAACTGCAATAGGATGTAGAATGGGTCATGGGTACTCTGTGTGCCAAGTTTGGTCTTGATCAATCATTGGATGAGGATTGCAGCAGTCTTGGGAAATGAGTGCAGGTACTTCAAGTCCCATCATCCGTGGTCCATCCTCCTCAAAACTGCACTATGATTTAGAGTGAGTAATGGGGGCTCTGTGTGCCAAGTTTGGTCTTGATCAGTCCTTGGATGAGGGTCGCAGCAGTCTCAGGAAGTGAGTGGAGATACTTGAAGTCCCATCATCCATGGCCCCTCCTCCTCGAAACTGCACCAGGATGTACAGTGGGTCATGGGGGCTCTGTGTGCCAAGTTTGGTCTTGATCAATCATTGGATGAGGATTGCAGTGGTCTTGGGAAGTGAGTGGAGATACTTCAAGTCCCATCCCAGCTGGAACATATTGGCCAGACAGCCCGGAAAACTCACAGCAACCCACTCCAAGGTCTTTTTCACACGGACTGTTGTTGAGTCAGGAGTCACCCATTCTGTATCTTTGCATTTCATTGTTTTCTGCCTAAGTGTCGAATCTTACATTTGTTTTTGCTGGAAATCATTGTGTTCGTTCTTCTCTCCCCTTTCTTTGCAAGGCCTGCGCAATGCTCCCCGCTGTTGGGACGTGATCCAGCCCCTCCTCTGTGCCGTCTACATGCCCAAGTGCGAGGGCGGCAAGGTGGAGCTGCCCAGCCAGACCTTGTGCCAAGCCACGCGTGGCCCTTGCACCATCGTGGAGCGGGAACGTGGCTGGCCGGACTTCCTCAAGTGCTCCACTGACCGCTTCCCCGAAGGATGCCCGGTAAGGAAGCACTATTGCTCCCCTATTGCCCTGGCACAGGGATCATTGAATTGGAAGGCACCACTTGAGGTTATCTAGTCCAACCCCTTCCTCCAGGCAGGATGACACAATGATGTTGACGTGGGTGCTGCCTGCTTCCTCTTGCAGAACGAGGTCCAGAACCTGAAGTTCAACACCTCTGGGCAGTGCGAGGCACCGCTGGTCCGGACGGACAACCCCAAGAGTTGGTACGAGGACGTGGAGGGCTGTGGCGTCCAGTGCCAGAACCCCCTCTTCACCCTCTCCGAGCACCAGCAGATGCACCGCTACATCGCCGCCTTCAGCTCCCTCACCATCTTCTGCACCTTCTTCACCCTGGTGAGATCCACAGGGACTGCATTGTTGTTGTTGTTGTTGTTGTTATTGTTGTTAAAAGTATGGATTCCCATGGTTTAAAGCAGGATGCATGTTCCTTCTGTTGTTGTTGTTATATGTTGTTGTTGTTGTTCTTTCAAGCATGGTTTCTCATGGTTAAAAATGGGATGCATGTGCCTTCTGCTGTTGCTGTTATATGTTGTTGTTGTTGTTCTTTTAAGCATGGATCCCCATGGTTAAAAACAGGATGCATGTTGCTTCTGCTGTTGTTGGTATATGATGTTGTTGTTGTTTCAAGCATGGTTTCCCATGGTTAACAATGGGACGCATATACCTTCTGCTGTTGTTGTTATATACTGTTGTTGTTGTTGTTGTTGTTTCAAGCATGGATCCCCATGGTTCAAAACGGGATGCATGTTCCTTCCGCTGTTGCTCTTATATGTTGTTTTTGTTGTTGTTTTAATCATGGTTTCCCATAGTTAACAATGAGATGCATGTTACTTCTGCTGTTGTTGTTATATGTTGTTGTTGTTGTTGTTGTTCTTTTAAGCATCGTTTCTCATGGTTAACAATGGGATGCATGTTGCTTCTGCTGTTGCTGTTATATGTTGTTGTTGTTGTTTCAAGCATGGTTTCCCATGGTTAAAAATGGGATGTATGTTCCTTCTGCTGTTATTGTTATATGTTGTTGTTGTTGTTGTTCTTTTAAGCATCGTTTCCCATGGTTAACAATGGGATACATGTTGCTTCTGCTGTTATTGTTATATGTTGTTGTTGTTCTTTTAAGCATCGTTTCCCATGGTGAAAAATGGGATGCATGTTCCTTCTGCTATTATTGTTATATGTTGTTGTTGTTCTTTTAAGCATCGTTTCCCATGGTTAACAATGGGATGCGTGTTGCTTCTGCTGTTGTTGTTATATATTGTTGTTGTTGTTGTTTCAAGCATGGTTTCCCATGGTTAAAAATTTGACACATGTTCCTCCTGCTGTTGCTGTTATATGTTGTTGTTGTTGTTGAAGTATAGATTCCCATGGTTTAAAACAGGATGCATGTTGCTTCTGCTGTTGCTGTTATATATTGTTGTTGTTGTTTCAAGCATGGTTTCCCATGGTTAAAAATTGGACACATGTTCCTCCTGCTGTTGTTGTTATATGTTGTTGTTGTTGTTTTAAGCATGGTTAAAAATGGGATGCATGTTCCTTCTGCTGTTGTTGTTATATGTTGTTGTTGCTGTTCTTTTAAGCATCGTTTCCCATGGTTAACAATGGGATGCATGTTGCTTCTGCTGTTGTTGTTATATATTGTTGTTGTTGTTGTTTCAAGCATAGTTTCCCATGGTTAAAAATGGGACACATGTTCCTCCTGCTGTTGCTGTTATATGTTGTTGTTGTTGTTGTTGTTGTTGTTGTTGTTGTTCTTTTAAGCATGGATCCCCATGGGTAAAAACGGGATGCATGTACCTTCTGCTGTTGTTGTCATCATATGTTGTTGTTTTAAGCATGGTTTCCCATGGTTAAAAACGGGATGCATGTTGCTTCAGCTGTCATTGTTATAGGTTGTTGTTGTTTTAAGCATGGTTTCCCATGATCAATAAACCTCACAACTTCTGAGGATGCCTGCCACAGGTGCAGGCAAAACATCAGGAGAGAATGCTTCTAGAACATGGCCATACAGCCCGAAAAACCTACAACAACCCTGGAATGCACGTTGCTTCTGCTATTGTTGTTATATGTTGTTGTTGTTGTTATTTTAAGCATGGTTTCCTATGGTTAAAAATGCGACGCATGTTGCTGTTGCTGTCGCTTTTACCGTACATGTTGCTGCTGTTGCTGTTTCCATTATTATTGTTGTTGTTGTTATTATTATTATTATTATTATTATTATTATTATTAGCATGGTTTTCCATGGTCGCAAATGGAACACATGCTACTTGTGCTGTTATATTATTATTATTATTATTATTATTATTATTATTATTATTATTAACCATTCTGTAGCTGTGATTATATTATTGTAATCATCATCCATGGTTAAAAGTGGATTATTATTATTATTATTATTATTATTAGCATGGTTTTCCATGGTCGCAAATGGAACACATGCTACTTGTGCTGTTATATTATTATTATTATTATTATTATTATTATTATTATTATTATTAACCATTCTGTAGCTGTGATCATATTATTATCATCATCATCCATGGTTAAAAGTGGATTATTATTATTATTATTATTATTATTATTAGCATGGTTTTCCATGGTCGCAAATGGAACACATGCTACTTGTGCTGTTATATTATTATTATTATTATTATTATTATTATTAACCATTCTGTAGCTGTGATCATATTATTATCATCATCATCCATGGTTAAAAGTGGATTATTATTATTATTATTATTATTATTATTATTAGCATGGTTTTCCATGGTCGCAAATGGAACACATGCTACTTGTGCTGTTATATTATTATTATTATTATTATTATTAACCATTCTGTAGCTGTGATTATATTATTATAATCATCATCCATGGTTAAAAGTGGATTATTATTATTATTATTATTATTATTATTATTAGCATGGTTTTCCATGGTCGCAAATGGAACACATGCTATTTGTGCTGTTATATTATTATTATTATTATTATTATTATTATTATTATTAACCATTCTGTAGCTGTGATTATATTATTATAAGCATCATCCATGGTTAAACGTGGATTATTATTATTATTATTAGCATGGTTTTCCATGGTCGCAAATGGAACACATGCTACTTGTGCTGTTATATTATTATTATTATTATTATTATTATTATTATTATTAACCATTCTGTAGCTGTGATTATATTATTATAAGCATCATCCATGGTTAAACATGGATTATTATTATTATTATTATTATTAGCATGGTTTTCCATGGTCGCAAATGGAACACATGCTATTTGTGCTGTTATATTATTATTATTATTATTATTATTATTATTATTATTAACCATTCTGTAGCTGTGATTATATTATTGTAATTATCATCCATGGTTAAAAGTGGATTATTATTATTATTATTATTATTATTATTATTATTATTAGCATGGTTTTCCATGGTCGCAAATGGAACACATGCTACTTGTGCTGTTATATTATTATTATTATTATTATTATTATTATTATTATTATTATTATTAACCATTCTGTAGCTGTGATTATATTATTGTAATCATCATCCATGGTTAAAAGTGGATTATTATTATTATTATTATTATTATTATTATTAGCATGGTTTTCCATGGTCGCAAATGGAACACATGCTACTTGTGCTGTTATATTATTATTATTATTATTATTATTATTATTATTATTATTATTATTAACCATTCTGTAGCTGTGATCATATTATTATCATCATCATCCATGGTTAAAAGTGGATTATTATTATTATTATTATTATTATTATTATTATTATTATTATTATTATTATTATTATTATTAACCATTCTGTAGCTGTGATCATATTATTATCATCATCATCCATGGTTAAAAGTGGATTATTATTATTATTATTATTATTATTATTATTATTATTATTAGCATGGTTTTCCATGGTCGCAAATGGAACACATGCTACTTGTGCTGTTATATTATTATTATTATTATTATTATTATTATTATTATTAACCATTCTGTAGCTGTGATTATATTATTATAATCATCATCCATGGTTAAAAGTGGATTATTATTATTATTATTATTATTATTAGCATGGTTTTCCATGGTCGCAAATGGAACACATGCTATTTGTGCTGTTATATTATTATTATTATTATTATTATTATTATTATTATTATTAACCATTCTGTAGCTGTGATCATATTATTATCATCATCATCCATGGTTAAAAGTGGATTATTATTATTATTATTATTATTATTATTATTAGCATGGTTTTCCATGGTCGCAAATGGAACACATGCTACTTGTGCTGTTATATTATTATTATTATTATTATTATTATTATTATTACCATTCTGTAGCTGTGATCATATTATTATCATCATCATCCATGGTTAAAAGTGGATTATTATTATTATTATTATTATTAGCATGGTTTTCCATGGTCGCAAATGGAACACATGCTATTTGTGCTGTTATATATTATTATTATTATTATTATTATTAACCATTCTGTAGCTGTGATCATATTATTATCATCATCATCCATGGTTAAAAGTGGATTATTATTATTATTATTATTATTATTATTAGCATGGTTTTCCATGGTCGCAAATGGAACACATGCTACTTGTGCTGTTATATTATTATTATTATTATTATTATTATTATTATTATTATTATTAACCATTCTGTAGCTGTGATCATATTATTATCATCATCATCCATGGTTAAAAGTGGATTATTATTATTATTATTATTATTAGCATGGTTTTCCATGGTCGCAAATGGAACACATGCTACTTGTGCTGTTATTATTATTATTATTATTATTATTATTATTATTATTATTAACCATTCTGTAGCTGTGATTATATTATTATAAGCATCATCCATGGTTAAACGTGGATTATTATTATTATTATTAGCATGGTTTTCCATGGTCGCAAATGGAACACATGCTACTTGTGCTGTTATATTATTATTATTATTATTATTATTATTATTATTATTATTATTAACCATTCTGTAGCTGTGATTATATTATTATAAGCATCATCCATGGTTAAAAGTGGATTATTATTATTATTATTAGCATGGTTTTCCATGGTCGCAAATGGAACACATGCTACTTGTGCTGTTATATTATTATTATTATTATTATTAACCATTCTGTAGCTGTGATTATATTATTATAAGCATCATCCATGGTTAAAAGTGGATTATTATTATTATTATTATTATTATTAGCATGGTTTTCCATGGTCGCAAATGGAACACATGCTACTTGTGCTGTTATATTATTATTATTATTATTATTATTATTATTA